AACTTTCTGTTGTTAGTTTGAAGCCTGCTACCCATTCATTTCATTTGGTGTCCTCTAGTCCTTCTATTATGGGAACTAATGAATAACTTTTCTTTATGCACCCTCTCCACACCACTCATGCTTTTATAGACCTCTATCATATCCCCCCTCAGTCTCCTCTTTTCTAAGCTGAAAAGTCCCAGTCTCTTTAGCCTCTCTTCATATGGGACCTGTTCCAAACCCCTGATGATTTTAGTTGCCCTCCCCTCTCCCACCCTCTTTCTTCCCCTCTTCCACTTCCTTTTCCCAGTCTCCCCGAATTTTGTTCATAAAGACAGTTTCTATTTTTGAACACAAGTGTCCTTTATTTTGTACATGAGGAAGGGGGGCTAGGGAGGGGTAAGTGGAAGGAGGTGAAGAAGGAATGGTTTATTGGACCCCGATGGGGAAGACTGGGGTGGCTCTGTGGGCTCCTCAGGGTGGAAGCTCTCCTGCAGGGCCTTCTGGATCTTGACAGCCCCCCGATTGACTCCCCTCCCCCCAATAGCAGCCTGCTGCAAGTGCAGCCGGGCTGATGGCCGAGTGCTGTGATGTGCCGAGTATGGGCACTCAGGGCACTCCAAGACAGGACTGCTTAGCTGTCCCTCATCGAGGTAGACAAGCAAGTGGGGAACCCAGAGAACTGTCTGTCCATGGTGGGGATTGGGTTCCTTTAAGCACAGCCCTCAGCTAGCCTGAGGTAGCAGCTCCACACTCTAAGTCCTAACCTGATGCCCTGCTAGCACTGGTTCTGGCCATGTGGACATGCTATTTCGAATTAGCAAAACGCTAATTCAAATTAGTTTTTAGGTCTAGATGCACTAATTCGAATTAGCTTAGTTTGAATTAACTAATTTAAATTAAGTTAGTTCGAATTAGTGCTGTAGTGTAGACATACCCTGACCACCTCTGTTGCTCTCCCTTCCTTCATACCCCTATAGCTGATTGCTCCAGCTTAGGGTAGGCAGGCAGTTCACTGCTCCTGTTGCTGCTGCTCCTCCTGCCTTCAGCCATCTGATACTGACTTAGGTATGCCAGCCAGCAAAGCCTTCTAGCCATGCTTCTGCCTTCAGCCTTCTACCTGGAACCATTTTCTGCTTCCTTCCAGGAGTCTCCCAGTCTCTTGAACTCTGCAAGCTCTTACTTGCCCTTCCTGACTGAACCACCTTCACTCACATTAAAACTCAAGCTCCTTCATTGCATATTTCATAGCCCCAGGACAAGCGTGGGCAATAATTTTTGGGGGGGACAAGAATTTGGTAAGTGGACAAGGGTTGCACTCTTCCATGATATTAATGGAGGAGATGCGGAGTATAGGATGGAGGTTGGGTGCAGAAGGGGTAAGGGCTTGGTGTACAGGAGTGGGTATGGGAACTAGGAGAGAGTTTGGATGAAGAAGGGGGTTGTGACCTGGGGCAGAGGACTGGAGTGCAGGAGGGGGGGCAGAGTCCAGGGGGAAAGGCAAGGATTCTGACCTGGAGAGGAGTGTAGGTGAAGGTACAGGATCTGGGAAGGGGCTGTAACCTGGGGGAGGGGATAGAGGTGCAGAGTTTGGTAGGGTTATAAGAAAGGATTCTGACCTGGAGGAGGGGTGCAGGAGGAAGTGCAGAGTCTTGTAGGAGGTTGTTGTGATCTGGGGCAGGAGTGCAGAAGAGGGTGCGGGTATTTGAGTTGTGACCAAGGGTAGGGGATTAGGGTGCAAGGTCTGGGAGAGGTTTGTGACCTGGAGAGGTGTAAGAGGGGGTACAGGATTTGGGAAGGGGTATGGGTACAGGAATGGAGGAGCAGAGGGTTTGGGTTATGTGGGTAGCAAGCAAGAAAGGGGACTGATGATTGGTGAATGGTTAAGGTGCCAGAAGCAGGGTCTGGTCAGGAAGCACTTACCTGGACAGCTAGTTCCTTAGCTAGGTTCCTTAGCTTCCATACTCCCAGCACAAGTCAGAGCAGCTGTAGGAGCCATGTGTTCTGCTCTGAACTGAATGCTTTGAGCCTGGGAGAGGAGAGGAGGAATACATCATATGCTGCCTATCCTGCAAACAGGCAATTCCTATTGGCCAGAAACTGGCCAATGAAAGCTGCAAGATTTTGCTGGGGGGCAAGGCAGCATGAGAAACCTCTCCCCCACTCCCTGTGCTTGCAGGGTTCAGAGAGCCTGCAGCCAGCTTTTCTGAGTACCAAGTGAGAGCAGGGCAGGCTGGGAGGTGGCTGAAGCTCCTGTGGGCCAAATCTGGCAGGTTGGTGGGCCACATCTGGCCTGTAAGTCATATTTTGCCCAGCCCTGCTCTAGGCATTCCCCCACTCAATTAACTGGCCAAGTGAGAGCACCCACTCTAACAAAGGCAAGCTGAACCTACTTCATTTACTGGGCCCAGTCACTCGATAGCCCTATGGAATCCCATGTTTTCAGCAATTTAGCTTTTTTCCATCCCCAAAATGTTTTGTGATGTTTCCATCCTGATGCAGAGCTTCCCAGAGCCTTCTGTGCCTTTGTAACCTCCAGAATGGTTTGTTATATGCTGTTGTGTTTCGGGCTACCCTTAAAACCCACTTGCAAATCATAACTGCTGTTGCAGCATGATTGCTCAAGGTCCTTCACCTCCATGCACTGGCAATACCCAGGCTCTGATTAGGTTCTTATATCATGCCCATCACTATGGTATTTCAGCACCCAAAGCTGCAATGACAGTGTGTTATTCTGCAAGGGTATGACTAGACTACATGGCTCTGTCGACGGAGCCATGTAGATGAGTTTACTAGACATAGCAAAATGAAGTGGCGATTTAAATAATCGCCGCTTCATTTACATCAAAATGCCCGCCGCGCTGTGTCGACGATCAGCTGATAGGCACAGCGGGGCAGTCTAGACACTCCGTGGTCGACAAGGAAAGCCTTTGTCGACCACTCCGGTGAACCACATCTAGACTGCTCCGCTGTGTCGATCAACTGTTTGTTGGCACAATTCGGCAGCCATTTTTATGTAAATGAAGCGGCGATTATTTAAATCGCCGCTTCATTTTGCTATGTGTAGTAAACTCATCTACATGGCTCCGTCGACGGAGTCTAGACATACCCCAAGTGTGCTTATTAGTATTTAGAGTCCTTTGATTAGGTGCCGCCTGTCTCCTCCCTCATGTCAACAGCCAAAAATTTTGGTTGGCATTTGGGATGTTATAACCATACAACATGGACAATGCAGATTTTATTCCCATATATCTCTGCTGCATGGAGAAGGGCAAGCAAGGGAGCCACCATCATCATCACTAGGAGTTTTAATGGAGGAAGATAGTTTTATAATTTATTCAGAGCCTTGCCCACCAAGGCTGCCTAGTAAGACAAAATTGAACACACCACCTGCCACTGCCTCATACTGAGATGAGTTTTGGAGATGCACTCACCCATTCCAGGACCCCTCGCTTATATCACTGTCTCTGACAGATTTTTCCACTGTTGTAAATTTTACAGATGGTGGCTAGAGGAAAACCAGGTAGTGAAATGGGCACTTTCCTTGTGTTTGGCACAGAAGTATTGGGTTTTAAAAAATAGTTTCAAACAAACCAAACAAGTAATCATTATAATTAAAGACAGTAATAATTTGGTCTGAGTTTTTTTTACCACAAAACTTGGTTGTGGGTGAATGAATATAACAGCAAAATAGCCACTACACCTCAGAGTAAAGTCCTTCCTAAGGGTATTCTAAGAAACTCCAGGGAGATTATAAAACTACTGTAATGGGGTGGCACTCAGCTCTTGCAAGCACTCCTTCTGACTGTGTGTGACTGCATT